TCACCAAGGGAGCGAAATCAGATGTGCTCTTTTTTCAGAGGCTTGCAGAAAAAGGCTTACCAAAACGAAGTTACTGGGTTCATCTTTTTCACGTTTCCTTGGTTGTTAGATGCAACGGAGACCTGATTATAGCACTTAAAACCTGGAAAAGTCAGATTTTCATGATATGTCACCTTTAAGTCTTCGTATAGGCCTATAGTTTGAATGAAAACTCACACAGTGTTTCTTTCCCCTCTCACTTTTCCCAGTTATTTTTGTCCTTTCTCTCCTTCACTGTCTTGTATTGTTCGGTGACACTTGTCATGGATGATGCAGTGTTACAGTATTAGGTGCTGAGCAGGTGTTTCACAGATCTCTGCTAAGCCGAGCTCAAGCATGGTGGCTCAGTGGTTGGTCAATTCTTCAGTATATCCTCTCAAGGGACTGACAGAAACTGGCAGGAGCAGACACTGAATAATGAGGCGAGTTTAACGAAATTCAATTCTAGAGGGAGTTGGAAATTGGAGCCAAAATGCATTTGATGCATTTCACAATGCATGAGAAAATCATAGAAAATTGATATTCTGGAGAATCTGAGAGACTGATATAGATAGTCAGAGCAAAATACTGTCCATAAAGTGTTACAGAGGAACCTGGCTGGAGAATATAGGCCACCATTTCAACAATACAGTCATCTTCTAGGTTCTAGAAGATAATTATGATGTACCTGGCTTCATCCAACATTTGTTCACAGTTAACCCCAATCGAAGAGCATGTATTAACATCATTATCATACTTAGCCTGACCTCAGCGGCCATCTCAGGGCAGATACAGGATGATTGACTGCTCTGATGACCATCAGACTCCTGCTTAAGCAGGCCAAAGTTATTTTGGTCCGTTACTATTGTTTGCACGGTCCTTATATCCTTAATCTCAGTCAGGGATTGTGGGTAGCCTTAGCCCCTTGCTGTGAATTGTGAATACAAAAGGCTTCGTCTTTACCCTGCCTAACTAACTCTTACAGTTCAGTCCCGCAGCATGACAAAGGCACTTTGTTAATCGTCGAATCCCCTCAGGCATGCACACATAACCCCTGCTGATGGCAGGACGGGGACAAAAGAAACCTCACTGCTTATGTTACCATTCCTTAAAGACATTCTGGATTCTCTTACTCCTTTCCTCTTTCCATCTCCCTCTCTTTCTGTCCCATTCCCTTTCTCTCTTCCTCCCACCCCCACCTCCTTCATTATATGTTCACCTCCTTCATCAAGAATTGGGGGTGGAGCTACTCAACTGTAAAGAAGTGTCACTCGGTGTGGGGTCAGCATCCTGTGTTTTTGAGGAGGAACGAGAGCTGTCAGTCATTATGGAAGGCTGCTGCTTTTGTTCTTAGATGGAGTTTATTAATTGTTAGTGCTACTTATTTATACTGAGGGTTACAACAAAAACTCTAGGCCCAAGTATTAAACACACAATGTGTTTGCTAAGACCATCAATGATACCGTAATTATGTCTTGTTGAGATATAATTTTTCATACTTCATTTCTATACATTGAAAAAATAAAACCGGGCAAAAGGATGCACTGTATATGGTCATATCAGTATTGGTTTGTTAAGTAAAACAGGCTGATAGCATGTAGCCAAATGATCGTGAGACCCCACATTATTAATAATAGATTGTTAAAAACAAATGAATTAAAATA